ATATGCCTACTGACTCGTTAGACAACCTACCTATCTTTACAGGTATGTTAGGTGAATTAAGCGCTATTGTTGAAAGCGAAAATGTTGAGAGCATATTTCTACTGGGTGATTTTAATGCGCACCCACATGAACTGTCTTATAATGAATTAATTAGTTTTTGTTCTGATCAGAGTTGGATGTGCGCTGACATAGAAAAACTTGGCTTGCAGTCTAACGTGTACACCTATGTTAGCGCGGCGCATGGGTGCAGGCGATGGCTGGACCACTGTGTTGTCTCAAACTTGGCCAGGCAAACCGTTGTCGAAGTGGCGATTATAGAAGACGTCTTTGTGTCTGATCATTTACCTTTAATAATTAAATGTGACTTAAGGATTGTTAGGCCTAAATGGATAGCACGTGACTTGCATCCTAGCTCATTAATATGGGGGGGAAAGATATCAGAAACAAATATGTAATTATCAAGAGCTCTGTCACAATAGACTACGCGAGATTGATTTCCCCTCGGAGTTTACAGAGTGCAGTCGCGGGCTATGCAGTTTGGATGAACACAAGCGGGTATTAGACCGGATGTATGACAGCATTGTACGTGCTTTGAGTGATGCGGCTAGCAAAACTAAGAAAAAACCCTGTAACAAGCCAAGTAAAAACAGACACCTCTGTGGATGGAACAAAACATGTTCAAGAGGCGCATCAGATGGACAGGTTTAACTTCAGGATATGGTTGTCGTATAATAGGCCATCATCTGGAAGGATCTATGATCAAATGAACGAGTCACGGAAAATGTTCAAAAGTCGGCTAAAATGGTGTCAACGAAACCAGGAACAATTAAAAATGGACATCCTAGCACAACATAGGGTGGATAAAAACTTTAAACAGTTTTGGAAGGCTACCAAGAAATGTGATTTTAGGCCTGGCCTCCCGGTGAGTGTGGATGGGAATAACGAGTCAGTACATATTGCGAATATTTTTGCTCAACATTTCAAAGTGCGTTCCCCACTTGCGCCCTTGGTATCTGTGAATAGTGCTAAGGTCGGATGTCAGTGGGACGTGCCACTGATGTGCGTTACTGCAAAGCAGGTTAGAGAGGCGCTAAAAGAATGACCGGTGGCAAGCCCCGGTCATGACGGTATTAGTGTGGAACATCTGAGGCATGCTGGGCCTCATCTGCCTAGAGTGCTGGCCCTGTTCTTCTCAATGTGCATAAGTCACTCTTATTTACCACGTGACCTCATAAAGACCATCGTAGTGCCCATTGTTAAGGACAGGACCGGTGACATCTCGAGCAGGGGGAACTACCGTCCTATATCACTTGCAACAGCAATTGCTAAGGTATTAGACAGTGTGTTTGACTCGGAATTAGATAAGTATGCAAACATACACGACGCGCAGTTCGGGTTCCGACCTGGACTTTCTACTTAAAGCGCAATCCTTAGCCTAAAGCACACTGTCCAATACTACACAGATCGCAAGACGCCGGTATACGCCTGTTTCCTTGACCTCTCCAAGGCCTTTGACCTCGTGTCCTATGAGATACTTTGGAGAAAATTGGTGGAGGGGGGGCGTGCCGGCCGATTTGTTGGAAGTGTTTAGGTTTTGGTATTCCAACCAAACTAACTATGTAAAGTGGGCTGATTCTCTGTCGGAAGGATACGTGTTGGAGTGCGGGGTGAGACAGGGGGGGGTTGACGTCTCCCAAGCTCTTCAACATGTATATAAATGACCTTATCGTGGAATTGAGCGGCATGCGCGTCGGGTGTCGTATAGATGGCCTTAACATTAATAATATAAGTTACGCTGACGATATGGTGCTGCTCAGCCCAACGGTGGGAGGCCTAAGTTAAATGTTAAAGGTATGTGAGATGTATGCTACTGAGCATGGGCTGACATACAATGTCAATAAAACAGAGTACATGGTCTGTGAGGCCGCTGGTAAATGTCACAATATTGCAGTTAATGTTACCCTTAATGGCATGAACGTGAAACGAGTCACTAAATTTAAATATCTGGGGCATATTAATACTGGTGACCTCAAGGATGATGCTGACATCGAAAGGGAGCGCAGGGCTCTGGCGGTTAGAGGTAATATGTTGGCTCGCAGGTTTTCCCGTTGTACAAAACAAGTTAAGATTATGCTTTTTAAAGCATACTGCCAGAGCGTGTACACGGGGAGCCTGTGGGTCAAATACACCAAAAGATCGCTTGAAGCCCTGCGCATCCAATATAATAATATACTCAGAATGCTGTTGGGACTGCCTCGTTTTTGTAGTGCATCGGGGATGTTTGCGGCATACCAAACAGACGGTTTTAATGCCATCATACGCAAAAAAACTGCATCCCTTATTAGCAGGGTACGAGCCAGTCACAACAGCATTCTGAAGACCGTAGCGGACAGATATACTTCGCCGGTGTGGAAATGTCTTATACAGAGACTGATAACTGGGCCCTATCCACCCCCATGATGATCTGTCTCGGCAAAGTGTATTTATTTTATTTCCCTAGATTTTAAGCAAACCATTGTTTTTTTTTTCACTAACCCTTGTTATGGGGTATCTATATAGTTTTCTCATCTGGTTGGGTTCTATAAATATATAATTATAAATGAAAATGAAAAGATAAATATACATAAATATCAATAACATAAAATAAATATAAAAGTACATAAATAAGTAAAAGCCCAACCAGATGGAGGCCCTCGGCAGGGGAGATCAAACGGCCGAGGGTTAGGGGGAAAGGGAAAGAAACCGGCGGACGATGCGGGCGGTATCGAGGAGCACCGCCTTCTGCATTTGAACCTGGAGCGGTCCGCCACGTAGTCCCAGCCGCCTCAGATGACCCGAGAGGCTGACCGGGATTAACCCGTTTGCAGAGACGACTACAGGAATAATTTCGGTCGGCAGACCACCCCACATGTCGGTCACCTCGTGAGCCAGGTCCAGATATTTTGTTTGCTTGTCTGTTTCGGCTTTCACGAGTTTCTCGTCATACGGAATGGTAATGTCGACCAAAAATATCCTTGAGTATGCCCGGTCCATCAGCACAATATCGGGCTTATTCGCAAGAATAGTCCTGTCTGTGATGATGGCCCGGTCCCAATAGAGCCTGGCGCGATCATTTTCGAGCACGGCTTCCGGCAAGTACTTGTAATACGGCAATTTCCGATCCACGAGACCGTATTTCAGAGCGAGCTCCTGGTGTAGAATTCTGGCTACTAGGTTGTGCCTGTGCAAGTACTCAGAGTTAGAAAGCGCCGAACAACCGGAGATAACATGCCTAAGTGACTCACCGGGATGGCGACAAGCTCGACAGATGTCGACGGTGCCATCCTTTAGGATGTATCTCCGATAGTTGTTGGTCTTAATAACCTGATCCTGTATTGCACAGACAAAACCCTCGGTTTCCCCGAAGAGATCACCAAAGCGTAGCCAGTGGAGGGAGGCTACTGTGTCTACAAAAGGCTCATGTAGAGCCTTGTAGAACCTCCCGTGGAGCTCCTTCTCCTTCCATACGGTCTCCCGGTCGGAAATGTTCTGCACTGCCGGGTCTTGCCATTGCTCGTTGGCTAAGGATAGAGGGGTAAGTCCTTTATCACAAGAAATGACGTCCTTATAAAATGGATCATCCGATCTCGCCAGGAAGTAATCACGGAGGCTGCACACTTCGCGATTATGCATGGTGAGCGCGCTAAAGAAGCCACGACCACCATGCTTCCGCGGCAAGTACAGCCTCATTACCGACGATCTCGGATGATGTTTCCTATGGGACGTCATGGTAGTGCGGACTTTTCTATCCAGGGCGTTAAGTTCAGTCTGAGTCCACCTGAGTATGCCAAAGGTATACATGAGGACAGACATGACCCAACCGTTATATACGTGTGCCTTATTCACACCGGACAAAAGGCTGTTAAGCACTTTGGTCAAGCGTGCATAAAACACGTCGCAAACTGACTGTTTCATACCAGCCTCATCGATACCGATGTTCTGTGACATACCCAGGTATCGGTATGTTTCAGCCTCGGAAAGGGTTCTTAAGTTGACGGGCATAGATAAGTCTATGCCCTCAGAGTTAGCAACCCTTCCCCTTTCAACATGGAGGACCGCACACTTATCCGTCCCCAGCTCCATTCTAATAGAATTGCTAAATTCACACGTGATGTTTAGCAATTCCATAAGATGGGAGCGACTGGAGGCGAATAATTTGAGGTCATCCAGAAAAAGGTGGGTCACTTTTGTACCTCCTTTCCGAAGCTGAAATCCCCTCCCGGAGCCCTCCAGTAAAGTACTGAGAGGGTTCAAAGAGAGGCAGAACCAAATTGGACTCAGACAGTCGCCCTGGAATATACCCCTTCTTATCCTTATGCGGCTTTCCGCAGCCGTCATCCGCTCGCCTAGATGACAGAGGATCGTACTCCACTGCCCCATACACTGCTCGAGGAAGTCTCGAACTGTACAGTCAATCTTGTACAGCTCGAGGACTCTCTTTAGCCATGTATGGGGCACCGAGTCAAATGCCTTTCTGTAATCTATCCAGGCGGCGGAGAAGTTCCGACGGTTGCGTTTCACCACTTTGCCAATGACCGCGTCAATGAGGAGTGGTTCCTTGGTTCCACGACCGCCGCCCCGACATCCATTTTGAGCGCGCGACATCACCTGATTTAAGTCCAGGTAACGAGCGATTTTTGCGCTCAAAATGGATGTTAGTGTCTTGTATATGGTCGGTAGACACGTGATGGGGCGGTATTTGCTCGGGTCTGTGGCACCCTGATCTTTAGGAACCAAATGAGTGATCCCAATAGTGAAGAGGCTTGGGAGCGACTTCTGGTTGAGAGCCTCTTGAAACTGTCGGGCGAGCACAGAGTGACACACCATGAACCCCTTCAGCCAGTAGTGATGCAGCCCGTCAAGCCCCGGACTTTTCCAGTTCGGGGCCCTACGGACCGCCTCAGCTACGTCATCCGGCGTTATGATGACGGGGTCCATGGGCGTAATACTCGCACACTGACTCGCCACAACTTCCGTCCAAGGGCTCTTTTGTGGTTTACGGGCTCTGACCACAGGCTGCGCCAGAATGCGACCATGTCGGCCTGATTTGGTGCAGGGCCCGTTCCACTTACTATTGGTCGCTCCAATGATTTATAGAGCCTCTTCTGATCACTCTGGAAGAGACGATTCTGGTTGAACCGTGTCGACCTCACGGTATATCGCCGAATCCGCTTTCCCCAAGCAGCTATTCTTTGCTTCAGGTCGTCTATGCGCTCCGTCAGTTTTTGCATTATATCCGGCTGGGTCAAACTAACATTTGTCCCAGCAAACGCCATCCTGACGGTGCGCACAATCCTTGGCCTGGTATTGCCTGACCTGAAGCATATCAGTCTGCCGATGAGGGCTCTAGCCTTTGCGATACGTTCTTCAATTCTTATTCTCCAGGCTGGGATAGCACTACTTTGTCCAGTAGCGCGTCCAGCCGTGGAAAGTTTGGCACCTATAATACGGCAGACTGCCAGTGCGGCGCCAAAAAGAATTGAGTCCGTCTCGCAAAGGTCCCGGCTGGCTTCCAAATAGGTACCCAGCATTGGGTTTAGAGCCCTCACGACAGCCCGATTCCGCTTGCTTAGGGCTAAGCGGGGAAGTCGCGGTCGATTTTCGAGAGTCGTACTGCGCGTTTCCACAATCGCCTCTTCCAATGTACTCCTCATTTGCTCTAGTTCCAGTTCCTGGGCGACTGTTCCATCATCGTTTGAATCAATCACAACTGGCGTATTCACGGCGGCATCCACATTTGCCGTTTGCTCGGCAAGTTGTGGCGCCGCATCCTCAGCCGCAGCATTTTCACCCGATGAAGGAACAGCCTCACGTCGTAGCCGTTCGAGTTCGGTGACATCAAATGTATTTGAGCGCAAGATATACCGAACTCGGTCTGCCAGGTTTTGCTCGGTGACGGTTACAGATGGCTCCAGCTCAGCAAAAAGTCGATGCATCCTTGCCCGATACGCAAAACCTCCAGTTTCTCCCCCCTTCGTCCTAAAATACGCCCGCAATGCGTTGCTGTTCATCTGGGTTGTCCAACGCATGCGGCGTACTCCACCAGTGGCGGGTGCCGATTGCTGAGCCCGCGAAGACCCTGCCGACACCAAGCCAGCTGGTGGGGATGATGGATGCGAGGACCTGCTGGGTGGTCGTGCAGCACCTCGCGCTCGGCTGGCGGTTCGCATACTGTCGCGTCCAGCGCCAGCTCCAGACGCGCCCTGGCGTCCTCCAGGCAGCGGCCCTTGGCGCGTTCCATTTGATTCCATCATCCATTTTAGGGCGTCATTTAGCGGGCGACGCCCAGACCCGGCGCCGTTTCATGGTTAGGCCATGTGCACAAGCGGGCCTTGGCACCTTCAATTTTTGCCGAGGCACGGCACAAACACCTCTTGGCAAGGTGCTGACCGACTGCGCCGACGTAGCGGTTTTGTCACATAACCGTTATATCAGCGGGCGATGGGGTCGTCACTTCCCTACGCCTTTTAATTTTAATTGTTGTTATTATTATTGTTTTACTAACCCACATATGGATTTTAATTATCTGAAATAAAGAATTTATTATTATTATTATAACATAGAATACCGAACAAAACTACAAGATATTCGTTCGTATGTGACTTCACATGCTAATCTCTGGAATTACACGTCCGATTTGAATTTATTTTATTTTATATGACAACTTAATTTATAGGAAAAAATATAGGTTATCCATCATTATGATACACTTCTCAGCTAACTTTAAATATTAAAGTTGATTTAGCAAGTAGAAAGAAAAAGCTTTCTCAAACTGCTTTATCCGTGTATGCTGGCGTAATGACTAGTGATACAAAAATATAATATTCTACAAAAATATTGATCTCTACTCTATCTAAAAACAAGTCCGCGATACCATATATTTATTGATTATATACCTAATATATTATTATATAATATATAATTACCATATATTTGACTGCCTCGTTGGTTTAGTGGTTGTAGTAGTGCGACTGCTGATCATGAGCTTCTGGATCCCGGGTCGGGCCAAAAAATCAATTACTGAGTTTTTCCGTCAAGAAATTCTCAGTAGCTGCCCGGAGTCAGAAGGTTGGCAGTTTTTCACCCCCGTGCTTCGGAAAGCTCGAAAAGCCGTTGGTCCTGCGCCTGATCTCTCTCCGGTCATGTCAATTTACCGTCCCATCGGATTATGAGAGTGAAGGAATAAAGAGTGCACCTGTGCTTACGTATACACCTTGGCACTATAATCCTGTCCTGCGCCGATGGGTAGTCTCCATTGAGGCAGGCCGCCGTGACCGAAATTCGGTCAGGAAGACACACCATGTATTTTGTAACAAAAATTATCGCAAATTAAAATTAGATATATGAGCGTCAATATTGGGCATGGTATATTAATCCTTACGAACGAAAATTACATCATCAAGAAAATTTACTTAGAATAAACTTTGCTCTATATAGCATGTAGTTTGGATGCATAGTTTATCCTTTCAATGGGTACACGGTCGGATCCAACCAAGGCGACGTTCCGTCAAAATTCAAGCGGTCGTAATCGACCGCACCCACCCACGGGCCTTGATGTCGCGAGCGATGTCCCCGGACGCATCAAGCACAGATCCGAGGTACCTGAAGTTGTCCGTGCGCTCGACAGTGTCGTCGCTTATACGGAGAGACGTCAGATCTGTGCTGTTGCAGGCCATATACTCCATCTTCGCCACATTTAGCTTCAGCCCGCCGTTCTCAAGCGCGTCCCTCCATGCGTGCACGCATCTGGTGAGCCAACATTTGTCCCCATCTACCAGTGCGATATCATTAGCGTACATAAGCAGCCAAGGCTGTGCGCTGGCTGACAGTTCGTCTAATATCATACTGAAGAGATAGGGGCTTAAGACGGAGCCCTGATGCACGCCTACGGTTATGGGGAAGGGAGTGGTATCACCAACAGCGGTCCTGACTATTGAATCGGAGTTGCGGTACATATCACGTACGATTTCCACGTAGGTCTCTGGTACCAACTTCGACCACAACGCCCACCAGATCATCTCCCTAGGAACACAGTCAAAAGCCTGCTGCAGGTCTAGGAATAAAAAATGCAGAGGCATATTTCTTTCCCTATGCTTCTCCATGAGGATCCTTAGGGCGAATATAGGGTCTGTCAGATCCTGGTGTCAATAATGCGCTCGAAGAGCTTCATGGTGTGTGACGTCACCTTTATATCGCGGTAATTACCGCAATCCTGAACGAACCCTTTACCCTTGTGGACCGGCGTTATTATACTAAGCCGCCACTAATCGGGCATTATTCGGTCGCTCAGGATTCTATTATAAAGGTTAGTAAGAATGCACACACCACGAGCCCCCAGCGCTTTCCACGCTTCAATTGGCACCTCATCCGGTCCGACAGCTTTCCGATTCTCCATGTGACGAAGAGATGCGAGGACCTCGTCAGGGGTAATCGGTGGCACGAATCCATAGTTCAGGATTTGTTCGGGAGGTTGCACTTCCCGGTGCTGAGTATTCAGCAAAACGTGGAAATAAGAGCGCCATCTCTCCTTCACCGCACGATCATCGTACAGGAGCTCGCCGTTAAGGCCGTTGACGCCGCAGCAGCGAGTAATATCTTGCGCTGCTTTGGCCCTAGAGCGCGCCAGTTTATATATGAGCTTGTGACCCTCAGGAGTGTCCAACTTAGCATATAATGGTTGCAAGTGGTCACGCCTGGCTCTGGCTACAGCTTTCTTGGCAGCTCTTTTCACTGTCTTGTAAGTTGCGCGATCTTCAGGAAATTTGGTCGCTTGCCACGTCTTGGAGAGCGCTTTCTTCTCCCGTAATGAACCATGCACTATGGCGTCCCACCACCAGGTCTCCTTGTCGATTGTGCGACCCCCTTTCGCCACGCCGAGGACTTACTTTGCCGTCTTTGTGATTGCTATCGGAATGGTTTTCCAGCACTCTTGGACGGACTTGCCTGCTGTGTCGAGACTAATATCCCCAGCGGCAGAGTCAAACTCCGAGTAACTGGTTTGATCCAGCAGCCACCACTTGATTTGACGGTGGCAATGTTCGGCGTGTCTGCGACGGGGTTTTACGCAGAGGTCCATGACAAGAAGTCGGTGTTGGGCAGTGAGACACTCACCGGGTTATGACCTTAAAGTTGGCCACGCGACTGATATGACTACTCCTGGTCAGTAGATAATCGATTTGAGTGGCGCTCCAACCGCTCCTGTAGGTGATCAGGTGCTCGGTTTTCTTTTTGAAGAACGTGTTCATGACGGCCAGGTCAGCTGCAATGCAGGTTCTGAGAATGGTTTCCCCCTCTGCGTTTCTTCGGCCGTAACCATAGCCGCCGTGGACACGTTCATACTCCCCCTGCACCTCGCCCACATGACCGTTCAGGTCGCCACCCAACACGACATCGTGGGACAACGGTATGCCGCGTAGTACATCTCCGATCCGATTCCAACACAGCGTCTTTTCTGCGTCGCTGCAGCTGACCTGTGTGGCGCAGGCACTTATTAAGTGGGTCACGATCCCCTCAACAAGCAAACTTACTACCATAAGTCGGTCGCATATGCGTCTAATTTCCAAGCTTGTAGCCGTGCCAAAATATTCCGGATCCTATTGGCCTTCCACCGTGTCTCCTTCAGGAACGCCACTGCCACTTTACGCCTACGTACGCTTACGCCTACGTATAAGCAAGTATGGCCGCAAGTTCTGTGGAGCGTCCCGTAAGCGTGCTAATGTTCCAGTTTGCAAAGCGAATCTTCGTAGTTGGTGCTAACGTCTTTAGCCGGGCTCGCACGGGGCCCGGTAGCCCTCGCATACTTGTCGCAGAGTTAAGGCGATCCCCACGCACGTCGTTATGCGGCGATAACCTAGTCCTAAACGTATATCTTTTTCTTTTACTTTCCATTTTTGAGTAGCTTAGTGCCAATCACCGGAGCGACTGCCGTCTGACTCCCCTAGGACGAATCCCAGAGGAGTGGCATCGCCAGAGCCCTTTCCGCTGTTCAGCAGGTGCGTCACGTGCAGGCGGGGTTGGTTGGGCTCCAAGATCTTAGCGGAGCCCCTTACACCCCACCCCACCCCACCATACTAACTAATTATTAACGTCTAAAACTTTCAGCGGCATTGTACTTGAAAAACGTGTTTTTCCTCGAATTTTTTTACTGTATGTGTTTGTATCTATTGTTTTTTAAGTTCATTATTTCAATAAATAAAAAAAGACTTTTAAATATTCGTATTTAAATATTTTAGTTTCCAAGGACATTTTTGTTAGAATGTAATATTTTGAGAATATTATATTACGAGAACGAAGCGAGACCTCTCTAACCCTACCTCTAGGTTGAAGTTGGACTTACATAATCGGACATTTTGTGCTAGTTACCCAAAAATTGTTGATATTACCCAATAAAATTATTACAAAGAATGACCTCCTGATGGAAACAAAGATATTGAGAAAATTAATATATCAAATATCTTATTTTATTTCCAGCGTTATATTCCTACTATGCCTTAATAATAAAATAAATCAATTAATTCTCTGGCACAACAGCTGTGTCCGCAATAAATTATTGCCGCTTGACTGTATATGGGCTTCTACTTCTAATATGAAAAATACTCGTACTTATGAACAAAGACAATTTATGGAGGCTTAGAGATGAGACACACTTAATAATGAAACAGTTTTTTTTTTTTAATTAGGCTTTATTTGCACACTAAGTACACAAAGCCGGACTTAATGCAACAATCCCATTATAGGTAGAAAATGCAAAAACTTCGTTAAAATATAAATGCTTAAATTATATACAACTGGCATACAAAAATATCACATATAAAATAAATAAATAATAAGTGGAAAAAGAAAAATTTTAAGGAATAATTTTAATAAATTAATAGTAAAAAAAACTTTTTTAAAGCAAGCTTTTATTTAAATGCTCTATAAATAATAAAATAAACAT